CACCATCTCCTGCTGCACTATCTCCTCCTCTCTACGCTTCAGCTGCTTCTTCCTCTTCTCCTCCTCTTGCTCCTTCTTCTTCGCCTCCTCCATGGCATCCTGCTGAGCTTCCTTCTCTCTCCTCTTCCTCTTTTTCTCAGCCTCTCTTCGGGCCCTGTTCTCTCGCACCTTGAGCAGAAACAAGCAGCAGCTTTGTGGCCACAAAGGAACTGAACCTACAGTGCCATAGAAAAATACTTGTACCAGAACCTTTTCACACTTTGTTACAACAACAATCTTTTATTTGTACTTACACAAAGTAGTGCATATCTGTGAGTCCATATCTGTGAATATCTGTTTAACTGTTGTTAAAGTTGAATGTCTTTTTCAGCAGTACTTGTGTACTTGCAATACACATCTCCAGAATATGTCTTTTCTGCCTATTATGTTTTGCCAAACAGCTCAAGTGCTATCAGATTTGATAGAGAACGACTCTAAACATTATTTTTTAGGACTTGTCTCAACGTAATTTAGCTTACTTTCCTTCTACACTTTTTTCTTGTCACTTTCATATAATCGCCATATTTGTGGAGTTCATGACTAAAGTTTGCTCTTTCAACTGGTATTTTGATTTTCCAGCTAAGCCTCTTGGCTGCTTCTCTGATTAATGCTCCTTCTGATACATTTTTTCAATTTTCAGATGTTATATTGATGATAACTAGATCCTGCTCTAAACCTCTCCACACTTTTCCCTTGACCTGTCTGCCTTCATGGTGCTGCTTGTTTACTAATGTTCTCTAACAAACCACTGTGGCCTTCATAGAACAGCTTCAATTATACCAATTTCAAACTACACACATTCCCCTATTACCATAAATATTTTTCTCCTTCCACTTCATCTGTATGAAGTGGAGTATTTATGCACCACCCTGTGCAAGTATATTAAATAAAATCCCATTAAAATACATAGGTGTTTGTGGCTGATGTGACAAAATGTGAAAATGTTCCCTGGATCATTAATACATTTGCATAGCAGTGAATGCACATGCATAAACCTGTTGGTGTCGTGCTTCTATGGTGATTGCTGGATTTCTAAACTTCTTCTGCTTTTCTTGATCATCATGAGACAACTCCTCCAGCATTCGACAGTCCAGCAGCTCTTGCTTCATTAGATCTTGGAGGAAGCTCTCAACAGCCAATTGTTCTTCTTCTTCGACCAGACAGTCATAAAGATCTGAAATAAGATTGAGACATGAACCTCACCTTTTCACAAATTACACCTTTTAGCTAATTCAATGGATTTCCATCTATTTGGTGCCAGTTAATAGCTGCAGTATGGCGACAATATAACATTTGTATCTTCAGACCTTGTAAATAATAAGTAAAAAAAAAAAAATACCGTCAAACTTTTTGTAATCAATGTAAGTAGGCTGGACACTAGCTGCGGCAGTAGGTTGTGTGTTTTCAACATGGTCCTTCAATTCATCGTCATCCTCCATGTTCAGCTCTTTCCGTAACTTATCACTCAGCCAGTCATCTAGAAGAGCCTGAGCTGCAAGAAAGAGCAGATTGTGAGCCAAGTGAAATCACAAACTTTCTTACACTTGGATTTTTAAAAAATTGATGGAATTAGTAATGTTGTTGGTGTACTGGTGATCAGATCACATGAACGCTGTCACTGAGATTACAGGTTTTCCTAAATGGAAACTTGCTTTAGGATTCAACTGCCACATTGCTGGGATAATATGATGTTTTTTGTTAATACAACTTTCCTAAGAGGATAAAAATTATCTAAAATTTTCTCTAGTTCATAAACAACAAACTGCATTTGGTGGAATCCAAAACTTTTCATAAGCTTCTGTTTAAGCTTATTCATTGGTGTTCAACAACAACTTTAATGTTTTTTTTTTATATATTTAACACCCTTAGCAAATTTTAAGAATTAAATGTAACTGAATTGTTATTTTTTTTATAGTTTGGTTTTACAATTGTTGAAAGTGCTTCAATTTTAAGTATCATCCCATGGCTTTCTGTGGCCATGAGCTGAACTGATTTGAATCCAATCCAACTGAATGACTTCCTGTTTTTCTGGTTAATCTTAATTCGGAAAATGCAAGAAAACATGCAAATCAAGTAAGAAATGTATGTTGAAAAATGAGATTGCTATCCATAAGATACCTATTTGCCTAAACATAATCATAACCAAAATTTATGGAGAAAAATGGAAGGAGAAATTTGTGAGAGTTACTCTCAAGTTGCAGTCTGGCTTTATTGAAACACATTAATCTAAAGATTTGCAATTGCAAAGCTTTTGTGTTTATTCTACATTATAAATAAATAATATAGAATTGTGCAGCAAAAGATATATTCTGTAAGCATCCACATTACTTAATGATTACACCTAATTGAAAACAAAGAAACATTTTACGTTAGTAAACTATAGAAGGTAGCTTTTTCTGTAAGCTAACCCACCTTCACTGTAAGCGTCATCGTGATCCCTCAACTGTTCAGAGCTTTCCAAAGGTACAGCCATTCTATTTATTGCTGATTGAGGTTTCCTATGGGAGAAGACTTCAGACATGGCTAACTCAGAGGCCATCTCCACTCGCTGAGGACAGAGACAAGGGCAATAAGACACATTAATGTAGCTAAAAATAAAGAAAGTCTAAAATGTCATTATGAGCAAATTGCTTTATATTACCAGCTCAATGTTAGGGATGGTAAAGTCTCACCTTTCTCCACTCATCAATGTCATCATTCTTCACAGGTTTCTGTTATTAAAGGACATAAATAAACACCTTTGGGTAAAATCAGAACTGAAAGATGCACGTCACATTGTCACTTTTGCCTTTTTGAAAATCCCCTCAGAGGGACCTTGAGCTGCTGATGCAGTGTGCAAATTGTGGGCTGAGGCGAGGGTCTGATGTCTGTGGATTATTTCACAGGAAAGCTCAGCTTTTGCCTTAAATCCGCAGATTACCCCGAGAATCATTTCCCAGACTTCAAAAGGTGAGCGGTTTACCGGTAGCAATTCAGCTATCTCAGTCTCAGCCTGCAAGCGTGTACAGCTGCAAGCGTGTAAATATCTGACAACAGACGTGGATGATATTTACCACTGACTTAGAAAAAGCCACATCTATGCATATACTCTGGCTATATGTGTGTATCCTTCATGTATCATTTATCTTCATACAAAATGGCTCACATACCCCTACAACCTTTTCATATTTGGTCAGATTACAACTACAAAACCATTCCATTGTAGTTTCTGCAGTTTGTTTAGTGTCATTGGAAATGGAAACTCTTCCACGGTCTACAGGTTTCCAATCAGGACTGCCTTATATTTTGCTTCATCCTTCATCCAGTTAACACCCACCAGCTTTCTCTCTACTAAACAAAAGCATCCCCCTACTATGAATATTCAACTGCCATGTTTTTCCAATAGAGATGGCGTTTTCAGGGCGATGTTTTGTGTTGCATTCATCTGGACCTTATTTCCTAATTCTTCTAGGTTTTTATTTAATGGCAACCTTGTGCAGTAAGGGCTGCACACATTCCAGATTTCAAACGAGGTTAAACATTTGTTCCACCTTGTGTTACTATGATGCCACACAAAAATCCGATTAAATGCAAAGGAGTACTTTTGACAGATGTTAGAAAGAGTAAAAGGTAATATTTTTGTAATGCACTATAACTTTATCCCTGATGTAAAGGCTCTGAAATTAAGAACACACATTTATTTTACTTTGTCAGTTGATATATAAATATATATAAAATATTAAGTGACTACTTTTGATTTATTTTTGTTAAGAAAAATTTCTATATTTATCTTGGAGATGCGCACTCTCTCTTTAAGTGTAAGCCAGGCTTACCTTTTTGGGAGAGCCGAGTGTTTTCCACCTGAACAGGTGATAATTGAACCCTGGTGATGCCATCTCAACTGTTTATGCATCTGCATAAAATTACGATATAATCCTAAATCCCGCGATAGACTTGCCTATTATTTCCACCGTGTACGATACCAAACTTCGGTAGGCCAAAAATTTGGTAGAAAAGTTACCAGAGTAAAACACGGACGCCGTAAACGTGTCAACATAACTAACGCTAACTTGGACGGCAAAGGATTCTGGGTAATGGAGTGCGTCTACAATCATTTTTGCTGAATCTCTGGGACTCGAAACTACGAGTCCCAGTTAGCTTTCGAGGCGTTGAGAAGTTCCCATGACAACTATGTTCGCCTCTGAAAACGGAATAAGGGATTTTTAAATGTGTTGCATGTGGTTAGAGAAATTAATTTGTATGAATAAGTAGGTTTAACAGAGGATTAAACCTATTTAACAGAGTTAAACACGTATTTATAGGTGTTTTTCATGATCTACGATACGAGCACATTCTGAACAGATCGCCAGTCTGTCACAAGATGGAAGCTAGAGTATTTGCTTTCTGCAGGCAGTTCAAATGATCACCACAAATAGACGTTGAGCAGGCATTAAATAAAATCAATATAGAAACCCAAAACTACTGCAAACTTGCAAGGATGCTATCTCTGCTATTTGCTAAACTCTTTCACGAGAGTTTGGCAACATATATATTAAACATTGACTTTAAAGAACCTCTCTTATATTTGCAAAACAGATTAGATTAACTAAATAATGTTTAGTTTCTATAAGTAAAACAATTTTATTTAGTTTTTATATATATATATATATATATATATATATATATATATATATATATATATATATATATATATATATATAAAAGAATAAAGGGAACACTGTGTTTCCTTTATTTTTTTGAGCAGTGTATATATATTTTAATATAGGAAAATTGAAAGAAGTCATAGTGCTTTTTTGCACATTGTGTTAAACTTTTGCCTTCTATTGGTAATAAAGTGAATACACGTAATTGGGTTCACAACTAATTCAAAGCAAAGTGCTTCTTTTACTCAGAATATCCAATTTCCAAGGAGAACATTCCACTCACAATATGGCGGACGTACTGACGTACAATTTCTTCTGACGTTATATTTCCCCGACTTGTAGTTCCCACGAGTTTTTAGCGGTAAGCCGAAAGTATGTCTATAAATTAAGTAAATACTCGTACTTTGAGCATGACTACTTGCGCGTGTTATCTATTATAACGAGTTATTCGCTGAATTAAACATATTAAGTATCTAAAAGGGTTTCTCGCGCCTTAACTTTTGTGTGATAAAGCTAACTAGCGACGTGGCTAAACTCCACGCTTTGCCTGTGGTAGCAAAGTGGTCCCACTTTGACGAGTGTTGCTCCGTGCAGTATTTTTACATGCTTTTTTTCAGGAGTTGCTAGTGATGGCTGGCAGCAGGATGAAGTTGGAGTTGTCCAAAGTGGTTCAGGGAAGAAGTCGTTTGGGTCAACTGAAGGAGATAGGAAGGACGGGGCAGCACTGTCTGGATATTCCAGGATGTCTTCTGTTCACGCACCTGGGCACCGTTCCCCACCTCACCCAGGACACCCTGCACACCCTCAGCAGCCTCCCCACTGTCACTCAGGTCACTCTGTCCAACGTGTAAGCCTGAACACACACACACACACACACACACACACACACACACACACACACACACACACACACACACACACACACACACTACACATCCTGATTCTCTCCTTAAAGGTGACCATCATCTCTCTCCAGTGCAGAGCACCAAGAAGTGCTGGAGGAGTTTAAAGGCGGATTTAAGAAGTTTGCAGGTACAAATCACATTTAATTTTGTTTTAATTACTCATGGTTATACAATTGGAAGTAATCAAGAAATTAAACTGGGTTTTATATGTACAAAAAAAACGATACCTATCTTAGAAGAGGGCCAAGAGACTGGGTTTATTTAGCTTTACGTGTATATCTTTCCACATTTGAGGTTTTTTTATTTCTGCTTTTAATCATTTTATTTTTGCTTTAATTCTAATGTTTTATTATTTGATTTAATAATCCTTTATGTTCAGTAGTTGGTTCATTGCATGCTGCTTTTTAAAGTGTCATAAATACTTTGCTAAGTATAAAATACTTTTGTGAATTCGATTCAATTCAATTGGGACTCTAGAAATCTCAGTTTCTCAGTTGTGCAAAGCATCTTTTAGAAAAGTGTGTGTGCTTGCTCCATTCTTTCCCAGGTTTCCATAGCTTGGGCAAAGCAACAGTTTGACATATGTTGACAAAAAACAGTAACAACAGGACATTTTGGTAGATGTTCAGGGAATAACCTCAAGACTTTCCACCCGTCGGAAGGTATATGCTTTACCCAAAGCACACGTGTGGTTGGGGAGAACACTTTCTTCATCTGGCTTCATGTGATTAATGTGCGATATAAAATGTAGTGTGAATTAATTATCCTCATCTGATGCTTGAGATAGGCACCAGCCCCTCACAACCTTTCAAGGCATAAGTGGTGGCATTAAGTTATTTATATGTTCTTGTTTACTGCATTTGTCTTGTGGGTAAAACAACTTTTTTCTGATGTAGAAGGATGGAAGGAAATGTTCAACTTTATTGAGGCTGTCAAATAACCTACATAAGTCCTTTTCTACCTTATTAGACCTAATGTAATCAACAATTTCCTCTGTCCTTATGTACCCTTTCCCATTGTGTCCATTTGTTCAACCTGTCTCTCTTTCTCAATTCTTCCTTGAGTGTTTTCCCTTCCTACTTTCCTTTTTCATTCCTTTCATCTCTCCTTGTGCTCCCTGTTTCATCCTTTCTCTCATTCACCTCCTTTTTTCCTTCCACATGCTCTCATTTATGTTGCAAATGTCTTTCCTCCCATTTGTTCTTTCTACCAGCCTTTCATACCTTCTCTGTTTTTTTTATTTCTGTCCATCGATCTTTCTTTGCTTGTCATAATTTCATTCCTTTATTTTGTTGTTCCTTCCTTTCTCTCCTTTGCTTGTCATTCCTTCATGACTTTCGTGTGTCCCATGTCAATTCTTTCCATTCTGCCTTACAACGTCCTTCCTTGCATTTTAGAAATATTTACAATCTATTTAACTCTTTCAGGCTCAAATTACTTGAAAAGACTGTTTAAGTTGTTGCAAATCTGCAACACCTGCCTGGAGAGGGTTAACTCTTTTAAGCTTGACTAAAAGTAGTAAATTTCTCATTTGTACTCTGTGTTAAATCTGCTAGAAGTGTGATCCTATTTGTCGTTGCGGCACCTCCGTTGCGATGGCGCTGAGCTCTATCAACACCCTGGCATCCACATTTAAAATTAGAAATGTAATCGCTGCTTCGTTTAATATAGGGATTACTTCAGTGTTGTCTCTAAAGCTACAGAAAGGAAGAGTAGTGATTTAATTACTAGAAATAATAATTAGAGCCCTTTTGTTTTCTCACCTTCTGATCTTCTGCTGCAGCTGGCTCTGCTGATAACTATACAAGTCGTCACATTAACATGCGCTAATGGAGCACGTCGCTACGCCAGCTTGCTCTGGGTTCAGCTGCCGCAGGCTGTGTGGATTTGAAGTTTGTTCTCATTGAGTGACTTCTGGGGTTCTGCTGTTTTTTATTAGGTCTCCATGATACTGTGTTGTACTGCTCACTCCACGACTCTGCAGCCCACAGCCCGACAGGCCACACCACCAACAAGGTGAGCTGCTCCTCCTGGAAGAGGTTGTATCTCACTGAGGTGCCAAAAAGGAAGCACATTCGGGCTTTGAATGTAATTATCCACCATTAGACGGTGTCAGTTTGGGGCAGCGGTGGGCGGATAGAGCTGACAGTGGCTAAGTACATGGCCCTTCAGAGGACGGTGCAGCCAGACTGGTACCAGACCATGGCAGATGGGGAGACCCGGCAGACCGGCATCTCGCGGAAAAGGGTTAGAAAGTCGGTGGACCGATCTCTGGCTCATTTGGACGAGTGCCTGCTGGTGCATCAGAAATCACAGGTACACACACATTCAACTGACACACACAAACTTTTGGAGTCAGTCAAGCGCAAAGTGAAAAACATCAGACATGGATTGATTGTTCGGTGGCTGTCGCTGGCACCGCCTTGCAGCTAAGCTGCTGCTGGAAAAACAGGCAAGATTAGGGTGAACACATTGTCAGCAGATGTGTGAGCCTGCAGCATTAAGAGCGACTGATCAGATTCTACTTTTTCCTCCTAATAAATCACCCCATTCTCTCAGATCTCCATGTTTAGCAGAGCTTTTCCGTTTGTCTGTTTTAATGTAAAACAGTTTTTCCACCGTTTTTATCTTTTTCTTTTTGCCCGACTGCCAAGCAAATGTTCCTTGACACAATAAAATGAGAAATCATGTTGAGCAAAAAGAACTGAGTTACTGCAGGTAATTTTTTTAATCTTGCATATACCCAGTGAGCTGTGAGATTGCTGCCAAATTCCCCAAACCCCCCAGTGTGTCGGTCCTCCTCGTGATGTGCAACTGCTTGTTGAGTAATCAAAATCCAAATGGAGTCTGGCAGAGGAAATCGTCATTATTTATTTATTTTTCCCCCTTGAGAAGAAGAAGGAAAAAAACATTTTACCTTCAAGTTTTTTTTTTCATGCATCATGCTTATTGGTTAAAAAACAATGAGTGTTTTTTCCTCATAGTTTTTCTTTCTATCCTCTGTTTCCCTGAATCTTGTAGCAGTTTCAGGGTGCAATCACAAGTGTGTCTTTCTGCTGCCAGGAATTGGAAGGAGTCAGTGTGTTTGGGGTGGTGGAGGGAGGAGACATCTTGGAAGAGAGGCTGCGCTCAGCCAGGGAGACGGCCAAAAGGCCCGTAGCGGGATTCTGCCTGGACGGCTTCCAGAACGGTGCCATGGATCAGGCCCTGAGGAGCCAGCTCATCACTGCTGTCACCAAGGAGCTGCCTGAGGACAAACCCAGGTGAAACTCTGATACCAGGTTCATATTTCCCCAGGAAATCTAACAAGTTTTTAGGGCTTAAGTAAAAATAATTTATTGAAAACTGTAAAACTCACGTAAGAAAAAAGAAAGCAACATAAAAAATGTGCCCTGAAAAGTCCTGGGGATCATTTTGTGTTGCCAGTATCAACAAAAGCAATGAAGGAATAAATGCAGAAACGTGGCATGTAGCTAAATGTGCACAAGATCTGTTATGGAAAATCTGGCTGACTTGTAAAGCTCCCATTATTACATCGTAAATCAAACCAAAATCACTGAGTTGCATTTACATTTCAGCCTTTCAGTAGAAATCCAACTCTAAGCCTCAGTCTTGTTGAAATAAATTTCAATATTACACCACATCTCCTTTGAATTATTTTCTCTATGACTTTAAGCCTAGCATTCAGATATTTATGCAATTTGACTCTTTTTTTCTTACCTTATGATCTTACACCACACTGCCATTTCTCCATTGAAATCCACTTGGCTTATAGGACTGTTGCAGATCCGTGCTTTGACATTCTGTAAAGTGGAATATTTCTGAGTGGCAGAATCAACTGGAGGATCTATATTCAGATAGATCCTTATGGAGAGAGTTTATCACCAGCATTTGCATCAAAGTACATCTTGCTAGCTGCAGAGGTATTATAACTGTGTTGCTTCAATGTCACAAAAAGGATGTTGCATTACTCCACAAAACGATTACTGTTTTGCTGTTAACTTTGAGCGAATACAAACTAATGTTGATTAAAAGGCTTTATGTGTTTTCTCTTAATTCTCACATGCATCTGAATGTGTTCTCAAACACATTCAGATGCATGTGTTGTTTCAGAGATGAAATAAACAAAAAGCTTTTTACATTTTTATAGACAAACAACTAAATTTCAACATCATCAAACTATTGAAATGACTAAACAAGACTGAACAATCATCCGAGAAAGTGGGGGTCATAGGTTCACTTCTCTTCAGGGATCTCCTGCAGATTCAACCTATTTAATATCCTCCTTTTCTCATAACAATCGGCCCAGCCTGTTTCAAAAGCTTGTCACAATAAGCACAGCTGTGCTTTTCACGATTTGTCTCCACATTCTCCATTATCTCTTACTTTCTTTGTCTCTCTTTCCATTTCCATTACCTCAAATGCGATTTAGCGTACTCGTTAGATAGTGTCCAAATGCTCTCCAGTAGAACTTTTGTGGAATCTTAATTTCCATCGTCATTATGGAAGACAAACTCTGCGACAGCATCCTTCACAATTATTGGCAACCCTGTTGGAGCAGCTCAATAGCTTGCATTTTTATTGTTTTGCAGTTTGAAATTTTGTTCTACACAAAAATTTCACTTTTCTAATAAAACGTTTTTGAAATTTACTGCCTTCTGTTTCTTACATTATGCATAGTGGCAAAAATAAATATAGATCCTTGTTGTACTTGTATTCGCATATCCAGTTATATTTTTCTTCCCCAATTTGAAGAGAGCATAAAGTTGTTATAAAGGTGCTAAACTTGAAAAAGTTAAATTACAAAAGTTTTACACCAATTAAAGGTTGTATTTCCCTAGATTTCCTCAGAGTGAGATTATGCTGCTGGAATGAAAGGTAAATTTATTCTGAGGCTTTGTACACATCCTTACCTAGGCAGTCTGGCATGGTTGGAAGTGAAACATGGGAGGAGATAACGACGCACAGGTCTTCTTTTTCTCTAAGGTGGAGCAGCGATACATTTCTTCAGCTCAAATTTGAACTTCTTCACTGTGTGGGATATTTTCAAACCTAGAGGCTTTTAAAAAGTGGCAGCATTTGGTTTTTAATTATGAATTGCAAAGGGATTCTAACTCTCAAATGTATTTTCTCAAGCACAGAAAAGTTGTTTTTTTATACATATGCCGCTATTAAAAGTACCAAATTTGCATCGCCTTAAGCATTCATCCTGGGCGTAGATGCTAGAAGTTGCCTGAGTTTGACCCGGCTGCTGCAGAAGGCCCAGGATATTGGCTGATGCGGCCAGAGGTAACATGCTGTTCGTTTGTTGATGGACTGTCATCGCGCCTCTTTCTCTCTGTAGCCTTTGCTTTGGTCAAACCTCCTTTAATCCTTCACTCCTCAAGGTCACAGAGCGGCGCTGACAGATGCAAATGTGCAACCATAAATCAGCCATGACTCAGCAAACCACAGCTGCCTGATGAATGTTGTGATAAAAAAGAAACTTTGACATGGTGATAATTTTACTAGCTGCTTGTTGTTCAAAAACAAGATTCTTTTGAAGATATTCAAATAGACCTCTGTGCCTTTCAACGACACAAGGACAAAACTTTGTTTGGAAATAGTTGTGTTCTGGACTAAATTAGCGTGTTGGAAACTTCCCTGCCTCTGAAGAAGTCGGTTTCACATGAGCTCTGGAAGTGGTGGAGGAGTTGTGCTTGCTGCTAGAGGCCCTGAGCGTTGCAGTGCAGCTGCGAGCAACAATAATCTGTTTCCACAGGCTCCCTGAGAGCTTTGCTTCATTGGCTCATCTGGAACACCATGGGGCATCCCCCCTGCTGGTTCTTCATGCTGGAGGCAGGTGCAGCTTCCAGCCAGAAAGTGGAGTGGAGTCATTATCGGATGCTAAATTGGGCTTGACCTTGATGCCTGCAGGCAAAGAGTGAGAAGCAGCCAGTTTTAGGGAAAGCTCAAAACACACAAGAGGAGCGCAAGCCGATGTGAAAGGAATCCTGCAGATGTTTGTGCACGTCACCTGTCTTGTTTCTCAGACATGTTGCATTAATGTTTAATACTTGCTGCTGTTTTTGTGTCTCTAAGTTTGTCGTCTCTGTCTTTGTGTGTGACTCAGATTGCTGCAGGGGGTGGGGAGGCCTGATGAGGTGCTGGCGTGCATCGAAGCAGGCGTAGACCTTTTCGAGGGCTTTTTCCCCTTCCAGGCGACGGAACGGGGCTGCGCTCTCAGCTTCCGCTTCAACATCACATCGGACCCGGAGAGCGCAGGTAGAGCCCGCCTCACAGGTGTGGTGAAAATCTGTCAAACTTTAACTCTGTGATGGCTCAAAGTCTTACCTCTTCATTTTGCTGTCTTCTTCTATTTATTACGTTTGATTAATTCCTATGAATAAAAAAACAACTTTTTACATGTTTATGTACTTTATGTGTATTTGGTAAGGCCATGTAGTCTGTACTGTTCTTAGCTGGAAAGCCCTACCAGCTGAAAATATTCATCCTTTCACTGGTGAAAATTGGTTTCAATGAAGAGCTTCTGTGAATGATAATTTAACAGTTGTAATTTCAATCTGGACTTTTAAGTAGTACATTTTAGCACATCGATATGTGTCAAACTATACCCTTATTGTGGCTCTGGTTGTATGTTTGGGATTATTGTAAACCTTCACTCCAGCCTTCAACAGTTTAAAGTCACTTTTTCCAAAATTAGGTGGAGGACACCTGTCTGCTGTGTTCCTTCGTTTTGCAATGCGTCTCTTAGGTCTCGCTGAATTTAGTGAACACAGCTGAACTCTACTTACTACTTTGGTGACGTCTGCGATTTGTTGCTTTGGATTTTATTAGGAACTGAAAACAAACGGACTACATATATTTTTTTTATTTTTATGAGTAAAAGTTGTCAAACTATATATTTTTTCCATCTTCATAATAATAATTCAAAACCTTCAAAGCTTTTTGTGTGACAAAATGCAAACGAATGCACACTTTTGAGGTTGAGTGTATCACTTTCATTTGATTTTCAACCCCTGTTGTAGATGTTTTGTTTTATCCCCTGCAGGACCCAGATCTCCCATACAGCTGCTGTCTTGTACTCATTAAGCAGCACACTGTAAATGCCACTCACTTTAAGACTTTTTCAAACTCTGCTGCACTGATAGTTTTTATTTTTTTTATTTTCTTAGTTCTTCTCTTCTATATTCTAATGATCTTTTCAGGTAAGAACACCTTGCCCAAAGCAAAAAGGTGACAGTTTTTAATGAAACTAGGATTGGGCAAATGAGACTCCTGAAAGGATGCAAAATGCTGGCATTTTATGTTAGCGGCTTGTAATAATATGTGCCTGGAGAAAACTGAGATCATTGAAAAGTTTGAAGTTTTCCTGTTTCTCTGATTACAAGGACTCTTTAATGGAATTTGGATGTCATGGAAAATTTAATTCCTTCTGCATAAAATGGTTTATTTAGCTTTAATTTAATTCATAAAAGACATGCAAATGGAGAGTAGCGATGAGATTGCAGTAAGAAAATATGCTAATATATAAGGAAATATCGGTGATGTCAGCATATTTAAAAGCACGGTAATCAGCTTTGATGTTTTTAATTGCACAAAGTTGCACTGAGCTGATAAAACTAAGCTCATGATTGATTCATGAACCCAGCAGGATTTCTTTCATTTCCATAGAAGGAGCATCTGGAGTTTAAAAAAAAAACATTGAATGAACAATCTTGGTTCTTACGGAAATGCAAAGAAACATTCTTCTCACGCCTCTGAGCAGGGAATTACACCACGTTCAATTAGACTTAAGTGGTCTAGTTTAAAGGCCCGCGGAGGGCTGTTGGTACACAAACAGCCCCTCATTTAGTCTCAGTCTGGTGAACAGCACAGCCTCGTCCGACAGCCGTTTTTCTCCTGATGAATAGGAAATAAGTGGATTTAGTGATCAGATTCACATAATGGCTCCAAAATTATGCATGCATGGCAGTGTGTGAAAGTCAGTGTCAGATTAGTTAACTCAGTGGGTAAAGCGGAAATAGATTAGGTGGGAAAAAAAATAAATCAATAATATATCTCCTGAACAGCTTCAAGCGAGGTAACAATTAGACGCGACCCTGTCAGTGATTGTTGTCCTTGTTGAGGAAGTGAAGAAGTGGAACAGAAGGAGCTGCGTTTGAAGAGCTGCGCTGAACTGGTCTGACTCTCGACTTTGTGGTTAATTAAAAAGTTGCGTTAAACTCCCCTGACAGGGTTTGGCATGCAGTGTCAAAAAGAGAGTAATCGATTCTGTGCCGGGTGCATAATAGAGTTCAGTTGAGGTGAGAGCAGTGATAGTGTCGAATCCAAGGAGAAACTGTGACTCCCCTCCCTCAGCCAATTATGATGCCCCCTGGGAAGAGGTGAAAACACCCTCACCCTCCTGCTAGGATCCTCTTGACATGTCCAATCTTTTACTCACTTCGCCCCTTGCTTCCTTTTCGATCCTCTTCTAGTTTTTATGGGGTATTCTCAATTTTCTGAACTTCCTCTTTTATTGTCTAGTCTTTTTTTTCTTTCTTGCATTGAAATTAGACGTTTTTGTAAAAGGTTCCTAGCTGGCAACATTGACCATTTTCAAATGACTCTATTGAATCTTCTGTTAACTTGCCTATTAAATCAGTCAGTGGCTACAGCTGCTTATCTATTGTTTTGATAAAAACAAAAATCCAACCAAATATCCAGTCATATATGCTGTGTCCACTTCTTTATTAGTTAGTCTTTGTTGAATGAAGTTGCAACAATAATTTCTGTTTATTGTTGCAACTTGCATTGGTTGCAAAAGCAGAAAGGGATCATTTTCCATCTTTACGATTAATGTTTTGTGTCTTGATCCGAGATCTTGTGATGCCGATACCAAAACATAATAAAGCTGGAAAATGATTAGTGAGCTCCTTCAGATGCACTGCACCTGCTTATTTGTTGGAAGATGCACAGAGTTCCTTGATTTTATTAATCTAAATGTTTTCATTGATCAAAAGTCAAGAGAAAAAGTTAAAAACTAACATATTTGTATATGACTAAGTAGGAAAGCAGCAGTCAGGTGAACCCAATTCAGGTGAACTCCATGAAAGCCACTTAGGGAAACACTTGTTGCTGTGTATCAATCTCTGAAGGATTACAAGGCCAGGTCCAGACATCCTGTCCTTGTTCTGCAGTAAGAATGTTCTGCAGAAAGAGGAAGACATTCAAGACTTTTTCCAAACATCCCAGCAGTGTCTGTCCCTGCAGATTCATCCAAAGGTCACAGCATGCAGTGCTCAGAGAAATTGTTAAAAAAAGATAGAGCTGTATTAGATCTACAGAGCTCTCAAAAGTTTACACAGCCCTGTTAAAATGCCAGATTTTGTTTTAAATCAATAATGGAGAATTTATTGTGAACCTAAAAAAAACAAATATTTGAGAAGGAAGATGATGGAAAATCTGCTCCACCCTGATTACATAAGTGTGCAAAAGCTCACATGTCAAGTGCTGACGTTCGAACTTATTCAGCTTCAGTATCCAGTTCCAAAATTAGTTTTATTTGAAAATGCTGAACTGTATTTTATAGGCAACATAATGAACAACATAAAATGTAGGAACATTAATCCATTAATCTCAAACTTTTACAATCGAGTTTTTGGGAAAAATAAAATTGGGTCAGCTGTCTGCTGAACATCTGCAAGCTTTGACCCTCACCGTCTAAACCAACAACCAGAAGATTTAGCATGACAGTATTGCAGCTTAAAACAGCAACTTTGTTTTATTTCTTGCAGAAAGTGTCACGTTTCGCCCTTGATGGAATGATACAAATATAAATTTAATTGAACAAGAAGTTGGTTGTCATTAAAGGTATGCGAAAGACAAAGTATTCAAATTTGTGAGAGAAAGTGTAGCTCCTATCTTTGTTCCCACGTGTAAAAATCTTTACTTCACATTATGTTTCATAATGTAGAGGATGGAAAGATGATGCTGTAGTTCACTTCTTTTTCTGCTAAAAAGCAAAAAAACCCAAAAAAGGAGTCGTCTTTATTTGTTTCCAAGCCTTCAGACTCGTCATGTTCCCCCGTTGGTTTCTGTATCTGCTGCTGTTCGTATTTGTAATGCATGACTTATCCTCAGCACAGGTGAAATCTCCCTGCTTTGCATTTTACTATCGTTGCTTGAGTTTTGTTCTGTCCCATTCTATTCTCATGGTTATTACCTCCCCAGCTTTATTTTGCAGACAGACCCAATTATATGATTTTTTTTTCTCCCAACAGTTCTACGCAAATCTTTCTTGCTTATTTCACGTTCAACTTGAATCCATTTTGCACCTGTATTGACTGTAGATTTCAGTTTGTAATCCTGTGCTTAACTTTGGGCCGATTCCTCATCCTTCCTTTTCTCACCATCCCTCATGCTCCTCTTCAGTTCGTCTCACTCTTCTTCTTTCTAGTTCACTTAGTTGGCATAAAACCAAAGGGAGACTGTCTGCATAAAGCAAAGTTTAGTATTCACAACGCAACCTGTTAGCATTTCTAACATGGAGAAGGGAGAAAATAAAAGGCTCAGCATGGCCTCACTGTAGGTCAGAGCATAATTGGCATTTATTTAGGCTGGTAGTTGTGTGCATAGGGAATTGTTTTCTGCCACAGGGTAAGATTATAGTTTGAACAGCTTCTGTTGGAATTAATAAGGTGCATGTGTGTTTTGGCAGTGGCTGATGAAGAGCAGCACGCAGCGGGGGAGACGCAGTCGAACGGAGATCTTAATTGTGATGATCAAACACACACGACACGCTTCGAGATGGATCTCAAAGACAAAAGGTTTGTGGAGGGATTTGTGAGAACCCCACAGGGTTTCGCAAACTCTCCGCTTTCATGTGTTTGATCTACATTTACGCTCATTGCTTGTAAATTCGACTCAGCTCGAGCTTTCGATGAACTTCTGCCCAGGTACCAGGGTGATTTCAGGCCCCTGGTGGAAGGGTGTGGCTGCTACTGCTGTAGGAACCACCAGAGGGCGTACGTGCACCACCTGCTGATGACCAATGAGCTGCTGGCGGGAGTTCTCCTCATGATTCACAACACAAGCCACTACCACAGTTTCTTCAGGGCAGTCAGAGAAGCTTTGGCCAATGACAAAATGGACCTCCTGAGGAGATGTGTGCTTGGGACAGAAAAGGAGTAAAGCGGATAATGTTTCTCTAAACTGGCACAATGCAGGTTACAGTAATGCTGCACAGACCTTCAGATGACTTATGTTTGCTTATCCCAGATCTCTGAAAAATAAAGAAGAAAAGGAGCAGATAGATATTGAGAACTCTGTTTGTGTGTTCGGTTCATCTCAAGTTCGCAGTGGAGGTTTATATCTCAAACTGCTGGCAATGACTAAAACAACAAAACAAGAATGCATGACCAAATATTTTGGGTATTTAGCGATTAAGATTCAGAGGCGTTCTTAGTTTGGTGATTTCCACTGCCTACAGCATCTGTGCGATGACGAAGGTCGCTTTCAGCGCAACTTCATCTTCTGAAGGCCCAGTTTGACAACCTGCTGACCTCATCGGTGCCTGCATCTCCTGACAGTACTCCAACTACAGGTCACATAGTAAAGTCCACCAGACATGTACCAAATGCTTGAAATCCAAAATCGCAGTGCCAGATGTGCAAAATGCGTTTTGTCTGTTTGCTGCATTAAAAATCGAGCCACTGTTGATGAAAGAAGGAAGTTACTGTGGCCCATATTATTTCAATGAGGGCCAGTATCCCTTAGATCCACCCACACTGGCAATCATTCGACAGGATGATGGTTCCTTCAACACACGCCGACAATCTAGGAATAAGACGTCGAATGGACTAACTTACATAGCAGCACATATTAGAAGAAGAAATCAGGGTAATATATTACTCAGTATAAACAGTCCATATTGATACGTTAAGTCAGACAGTGTTACTAAAGTGCTTTACGACCGTCCACTCCTCTCACCCTGCCAACAGGAGCTGCGAGTTGACAGCTCCACCCTTCATGTTGCTGACAAAAGATAAAGATCAGATACAGATATGGGTTTGGGCTGCCTCCCGTGCAGTGATGGAGCATGGCTCATTGTGAAGGTGAGGGGGTATAATTGACTGCCAGAGCGTGCGGATGCCTGTGGGAGGGGGACAGGGGACATGTAGTAAGAGGAGAGTGTGACAGATTTATGAAACAGCAATGAGGAGTTTTTTTCTCCCCCCCACTGTACTGTAAGTTACCCAAACTGCATCAAGCTTTGTAAAGAAGTAGGTTGGGGGATTTGCTGTCATTAAGTAGGTGGGAGCTGAGTGTAAGTGCCTGCGTAATAAAAGCACAGAATTGGCCAGGAACGATAAGGAAAAAAAGTATGAAAGTCTTTGGGAAGCAGGGTAAAATCTAAAACGAGCAGTGACCTCTAGACTGTTTATTTTAACGTCTTATGGGATACAAGCAGACTGAAGGTATTGCAGGGAAGGTTATGAAGGGCAATCCGCCATATTAGTCTGTAAAAATAGAAGCGATTGGATCTCACCCTTCCTCACCAGGAAAGCTGCTGCAGATTCTTCACCCTGAAACATTTCCAGATGAGGTTCTCAACAGTGAAAAGAACGCCAGTGCATGTGGCAAACTGGAATGAAGGTCTGCACAAATAATCCACACTTTGTGGTTTCCTCTGGTTTCAGCATTAATGTGGTCTTTTAGAAGACATTACTGCTGACCGACGATTGAATTTGCTTCTCAGGGTCTGAACTCCTCCCTGTTTATTTGCATAGATTTATTGAGCTTGTCATTGTCTGTTGTAAAGTACAGAAAAACACATATGCACTGTGCAAAATGCTTTTGAATACATTCAACTTTTATTGCAAGTTGAATGTAATGAACTTGCAATGCATTACCCCTTATCTGATAAAGGAAATTAAAACTGTCAGTTTAAAACTTACATTAGAAAAAAGGCTGAATGTGGTTTTGGATTTGGTGGCTATGTTAAACATGTTGTTAAAGAAAGGGTATTCTTTGGTAATGGCAATTAATGGCCAAATAATATATAATATAGCATTTTCCTTTGGAAATGCTATAACCATTTTATAAAACTTTCACAGTGCAACAATGAGCAGCCTTGGGCTCATTTAAGCATCTATGAAAATGCAAATGATTAATGCAATAAAAGCTGCTGAATATTGCAGAAAGATTTTAAAGTGGTTTAGAAAAGCTGGTCGAGTTCCAGGAGACGAGACATTTCTGAACTTCTGACAGATTTGCTAAAAAGGACAAATCAAAACCATGTTTTACTGTAAAGAGACTTCCAGCCTTAAAACACAATTTCCTCCTCTGAACTATGAACGTCTTAAGGGTATGTGAAGATAAAAGTCGACTATAATCACTTCTCAGTGTCCCATCATCATGAAACCAGCGCTGGTTGAATTATGGGTCCTGTGACAGCACAATGCCGACACCATTGGTTTGCTCAAATGTACCTTTTTTTTTTTTGTCACATTAAAACAAAAAATCTTTTCACATTTTAAAACCACTGTGATCTTTTTTTTTGCAGTGACCTAAGAGAAATGCATGTTGCCAGAAAGCAGAATATCTTTCAGACACTCTGAACTCAGTCTGAGCTGTTGACCTTGCATTTCTGTAAATCTGTAGAGACCAGCATCACAGGGCCTTTTACAGTCTCACATTCCTCAGTATTGATTAGCTGCGTCCCAATAAAATCCCACACTGGAGTTGTAGAAGCTGCCAGTGTGGGGAAAATAAAAAATTATGATTGGGAAAAATATAGATGTTTTCTCCCAGAAGGAGGTTGTGGGAGGCTGAGGATTGAGTTCAACATTAGTCGTTTGAAACGAAAAGATATTAAGTGGTAATATTAAGTGTAATTAAAAAATTTTGTGATTGTAATATGTAAAAAACATGACAGAAATACTGATAGATTTTCTATTTATTCTGAGCATTTTTCTCTCCATTTCTAATGGCTTTTTATGTCTAGAAACAATTTTTTTTGCCCATTTTCTCAAAATAGCTCAAGATCTGGCATGTTGGATGGGGAGTTTCAGGAAACATGTTCAGTCTTTACCACAGCTTTTCAATTGGATTAATCTCCAGACTAATGTAAGATATTTTCTGCTGGCCTGCACTGCATTTAGCTTTTTGATACCTGGCAAAGAAAAGCATGATGCTGCCACCGCCCATATTTTACAGAGGGGATTTTGTGCTCACAATGCTTTCTGGTCACTGATGTTTTCTAACAGAACAGCTGGATTTATATTGAGATTTATCACAAACAGCCAAATAGGTGAGTTCTGACGGCAATTGGCTGACGCTAATGTTTTTCAGAGGTTTTATATAAAGAGGGCTGCATAGTAATCACACCAGCTTTTGCAAATTTTTATTAATGGGCAAAATCTATAAGCTTCTTCCCCATTCAGTGCTGCTTTGTGATGTGGTCATCACTCAAAAACCAACGATAATATACCAGATGGTTATAATATGACGAAATAGGTTTCTTAAGTATTTTACATATTACAATTGCATCCTTTGACGTATAAATTCTACAATATCTACAAACAAGATTCTGTGGTTTAAATTTTCAAACAAACTGTTCAAGTTGGCTGCTTATCCAGTGAATTGGTAGATGGCTATTTAACTGTTTTCTCTACATTTTGGCATCTGAATGAACTTTAATATCTTCAACAACGCATGAAGTTTGCCTTAATCTATCCTGCAAATAAACATGAATTAATACCTATATTGTGTTCATGAAAATTCAGATTGAAGTCATAAATTAAATATTTTTACAAGTTCTATAAAATAAATATGCAATAAATCTGAAAGCATTAAGTTTTCCAAACTCAAAATCCTCCCTTTTTTTTAATGATCATGTCACATTTTTATGTTTTTTTTATTTTGTATAAATGTTTATGTGTGAGAAAAGAACTAAAGGAACCAGATAAAGTAGACAGAAAAATTTAAATATCTTGCAGAATCAGAAAATTGTTGCAGCTGTAAAAGGTCATAGAAAGAGCTGAGATGGCTGAGGTGCAGAACGGAGCAAAACAGACTACAAAAAAAAAAAAAAAAAAGAAGGAAGAAAATATTGTCTTGGAATGTTATTTGATCAAATTTAATATTTAGTTCCCATTTGGCTGCAGAGTTTCTCCTTTGCTCCTCAAAATATGCACTAATGTTTCTAATTTAAGGCCAAACAGATGATTTCATTCATATGAATTAAAAGTACTTTTTTTCCAACTTTTGCCAGCTGTAGTTTCAGTTGTAGCAGCAGCTTTAGGGCACAGCAATAACAGTGGGTTTAGCGTGGGGAATTTATGTAACATACTGCAATGGATTTCATGTTTTAGCCTCACAGCAGGCTGTGATAACAGAAAGAAGGGAACTGAGAAATGAGGGTCTCTGTGTGTGTGTGTGTGTGTGTGTGTGTGTGTGTGTGTGTGTGTGTGTGTGTGTGTGTGTGTGTGTGTGTCTGTGCTGCAACGTGCATCATAACTAGTTCTGAGCAAAGTTGGCCAAATCTTTTATGCAGTTGTTTTATTTCTGAAACCTATAGCTCACATCTTTAGTGCTTGCTTAATTTGACTATTAGAATGTGTTTTTGTATGGTTTGTTTTTTTATGAATAACAATTTACAGTTAGAAAGTTTCCTTGGGAAACTTACGCCTACTTACCCTTTAGGTTTTATGTCACATTACAAACCCCATACTTCAATGTTTTTATTGGGTTTTTATGAGATAAACCAACAGATTTTATTTTTATTTTAGAAAATAAGAACAACCTGCATTTGTATCCAACTCCCTTTTTCCTAAATGAGACCAATGCATTTGTTACCTTCAGGAGTAACCAGATCATTCAGTAGTCCATCTGTGTACAGTCTCTGTATAAATTCAGGTGTTGAATGAGAACAGCAGCGAACATGCGGTATCACGAAGGCCAAGAAATACAGCAGACAGATCAGGAAGAAAAGTGTGGAGAGGTTTAGAGCAGGTTTGTAAAACAGCTATTCAGTCAAACATCTTCAATTGAAAAAAACTGAAACATTGGGACATTGAAAAATTGAACTGAAAAGCTGGAGAAAAGAGTGTGTTCATCAGTGACTCACGAGAAGTTGCAGTGATCTACAGCACAGCAACTGGTCATAGATTTCTTAAATCTGGCCTCACTATGGAGTTTCGATGTGAGCAAGTGAGGAAAACCTCAAAGGGAACAAAGGTTTTCGATTGGATGACATTTATAACTTTTTTTTGGTAAAATTATTTTGAGGCACAACTTTAAAGTGACA